TCACACCCTAACCTAACCCTAACCCTAACCCTAACCCTAACCCTAACCCTAACCCTAACCCTAACCTAACCCTAACCCTAACCCTAACCCTAACCCTAACCTAACCCTAACCCTAACCCTAATAACCCTAACCCTATGTTCACGTAGATGCACCTAACACAACCACACTTGACCGTGTATAAAAGAGTCGCATTGCACTGACGAGGTACTAGTAACCGAAAGCTTGTCAGCTACAGCTGTAGCGGCAACCTTTGCATTCGCTCTAGTCCAAGTGGAGGATACTCTAACAAACCCTAACCATCTCCCCTCACCAGGCTGCTCGCTCACAGCTCGCTCACAGCTCGCTCCCATCCTCGTTATCAGGAGTCGTTGTTATCATCCATGCTCCGTTACCCACTGGCTTGTACCCCCATGTGATCTCCCTCTTGTTATTTCTTTGGTTGTCCCTGTTCCCTACCCGTGCGCCTGTGTACGGTCGTTACCATTTGTCACTGTTCTGGGCTTTTGTTCCCGCCCATTGCCCCTTTGTATCTCCTCCCCGACGTATACCCACTCACTAACTCTAACTCTTCCAGATACTTTCACTTCGAATGGAAGAGCAGGAACAGGTAATAACTTGACAACAACTACCACCACCAACAACAAACGGTGATATGTGCCCACCACCATCCGCGAACGACGACGAGGTCCCATCACCACATCAACAAACGGCGATGAGGGCCCATAACTACCACCACCACCCCCAACAACCAGGTCCCAGCACCACCGTCAATGAACGACGACGAGCGCCCACCACCACCGTCAAGAAAAGGTGACGAGCACCCACCACCACCATCAACCAACGGCCACAATCACCACCACCGACAACAACGAGGGCCCAGCACCACCGTCAACGAATGGCGACCAGGGTCCGCAACCACCACCACCTCCAACGAGGGGCCCACCTGTCAACGAACGGCGACGAGCACCTACGGGCCACGTCAAACGCCCACCATGGGAGTAGCCAGGTCCCTTGGGGTATGCGTAGTAGATAGCGTAGCTGTAAAAACCTCTTGTGTCCCTTGTTAGAATACAATTTATTCTTTTGTTAATGGTTTCGATCAATCTGAATATCTACCAATTTAACAGGTCTGCTCATAATGCCATGGAATACAGCCCACCTACATAATAGGCATAGGTGGGGTGAAGCACCCTTGCCGCTGGACATCCACCTGGCCCTTCAGCTGCTATCAATATCGGAGGGACAGCTGTCGTCAACATCCAACCCAAACGTGAGAGCTACATCAACCTGGGGACACGCTGTCGTTGGCCAGTAATGACTGTTGAGAAAAGGTCCCATCAGCATGTCTGACAGCTGCCAAATTATGCTGGTCAGGATTTGTCACCCACGTTTCTCTCACATGTTCACCATTTGGCGGTGTACCCAAAACGTCCTGCTGGACAGCGGACTCAGTCCTGCACCAGCAAATGTCGAGCGCGTGATGACTACGGTTCGTTTTCCATGTCGGCGAGCGAGCAAGCAGGCACAGACTGCATTGGGATTTGGCGAGGGCAGGTTGGACACCGCTCAGTTATGATAAACGTTGAAAAGAAAAACCGATGGTGAAAATTTCAACATTGTCACATGTCGTCGGACTTCGAATGCACTTACAGCAAGATGCAAAAACGTAGACACCTCTCCAAATTTCCCAGACTCCGC